CTCAAAAAAAAAAAAAAAAAAAGACATGTCCCTGTGCCCTATTCACCCAATTTTGCCCCCAGCAACATTTTTTTGTTTCGCCAGATGAAAACAGTTTTCAAAGGGAAGCATTCTGCTGATGTGGAAGAGTTGTAGAACAACAACAAAAAAAGGCAGAAGCACTAAAAAGCATAAAAAATGATGAGTTCAAAAACTGTCTTGAGAAGAGGGAAAAGCTTCTCGATAGGTACATTGTATCAGAGTGTACTGTAAAGGTGACTGAAGCTTAAACATGTAGGAATTAATGCACAGTTTTTTAATGAACAAATTCTGGGGTTTTCTGGGTCCCCCTTTGTATATAATCTGATTTCAAGGGCACTGGGTCTCAAATATGACTGTATGTCATAATTACCCAAAGCAGTTTTAATTTATTTATGTACTTATTTTGGGTCAGGTTCTCGCTCTGTCACCCAGGCTGGAGTTCAGTGGCACACACAATCATGGCTCACTGCATCATCGACCTCCTGGGTTCAGGTGATTCTTCTGTCTCAGCCTCCTGTGTAGCTGGAATTAGAGGCACATGCCACCATGTCTAGCTAATTTTTTGTAGAAACGAAGCCTTGCTACATTACCTAGGTGATCTTGAACTTCTTGGCTCAATCAATCTTCATACCATGGCCTTCCAAAGTGCAAGATTATAGGCATGAGCCACCATTTTAATTCTTTTTTTTCTGAGTTGAAGTCTCACACTGTCGCCCAGGCTGGAGTGCAGTGGCACACTCCCAGCCACCACAGCCTCGACCTACTGGGCTCAGGAGATTCTTCCACCTCAGCCTTTCAAGCAGCCGGAACTACAAGCGCACGCTACCACGCCCAGTTAATTTCTTGATTTACTGTAAAGACAAGGTCTCGCCAAGTTGCCCAGGCTGGTCTTGAACCTGCGGGCTCAGGCAATCCTCTCGCCTCGACCTCCCAAAGTGCTGAGATTATAGGCTTGAGTCATCGCTCCCGGTCAATGTTTTGGTTTTTTTTTTTTCTTTTTTTTTTGAGACAGGGTCTTGCTATGCTGCTCAGGCTGGTCTTGAACTCCTGGCTTCAAGTGAGCCTCCTTTCTCGGCCTTCCAAAGCACTGAAATTATAGGTATGAGCCACGGCACCCAGCCTGGAGCAGTTTTAAAAATTACAAATGCCTCAGAATGTTTCAGGATGAAGCCTGGCATCAGTAATTTTTAAAGTATTTTTAATGTAAAACCAGGATTACTAATCACTCCTCATAAAGACACCATTTTTGTCAAAGACATGAAGAAAGTTGGGGGTAAAAATATATGGGGGTGGGCAGTGAACCCACCTTGGCTAGTTGGCCTGAATTATCTAAGAATGAGAAATAGGGTTATTGATAGGCCCACCTCTGCATATGATCAGGGCTCAGGTTTGCGGTGTTCAGAATACAGACATAATGCGTAGGGATGCCACAGCCCTGCCGGACATGATGGGCTAGAAGGTAGAAATCCACCCTAGTAAGGAAAAAGCACAAATTAGTAATATAGTTGGATTTGGGCAGATAGAAGAGGCAAGGATCTTGCAGCTCATCCTAGCCCCTTTACTAAGGCTCAGAAAAGTCAAATGACTGGACTAAGGAAACACAGACACAAGACTAGGATTAGCATCCAGATCTCCTGACTCAATCGGCTATTAAGAATGGTGGTAGAAACTCGTTTATCAGTCTGTAGATGCTAAGCATACCCTATCTTAGGAAAATAATGTACGTTCATTACTTTACACTTCAGAGGTATAAAGCTTTCTGGTTTTTAAATCATTTTTTAAAGTTTCACTCTTTTTTTTTTTGAGTCTCACTGTGTCACCCAGACTGGAGTGCAGTGGCTACTCCTGGCCACCGCAGCCTCGACCTGCTGGGCTCTGGCGATCCTTCCACTTCGGCCTTCCAAGTAGCTGGAACTACAGGCGTGCGCTACCACGCCTGGCTAGTTTTTGATTTATTGTAGAGATGAGGTTTTGTCAAGTTGCCCAGGCAGGTCTCAAACCCACGGGCTCAGGCAATCCACTCACCTCAGCCTCCCAAAAGCACGGGATTACAGGCTAAGCCACCGAGCCCGGCAGTTTTACTCTTTTAACCACAGCATCTCTGAGGATTCCAGATCACACCTCTCCAGACAATCTCGCCAATCCAATACCCAGGACAAAAATAACTTCTCCAACCTATTCTTCCTCAAATGCCATGTTTTTTGCCCACTTACCACTCACAACTTGTTATTGTATGATCTACCACAGTCCCAGGAGAGGGAGTCACAAAGTGCTGAGTAGCATCCAGGTACAGATTAGTACTGACTTTCTTCTGAACTACAAATACCACCATCTTGGGCTTATAATTCTCAAAAGCTTCAAAACACGTCTGTAGCTGAGGAATCTCATAGTTGGCAACTGTCTTCAGTTGGCCATCAGATACTCCATCACGGTACACCACAATCTTCTCTGGTAAACAGTGATTCACCTGAAATGACACCCGGGATGCAGTGACTCACTGGGCCCTTAGGCTAAGGACCACAGTCAGTGAGAGACTCACTCATGTCTTGCAACCTGAAGCCATGGCAGTAGATCCTTTTGACGTCTGGCCCCAAAGCTACTGTGTCTGAAGGGCAAGGAAAGATGCTTCTAATCATTTCTAGACTTCTTTGGGGGAAGTAAAACAGACCTGGTAGAGCAAAGGTGTTATAAAACATGAAAACAAAATAAGTTATGAGTCACATACATACAGCTTATCCTCAAGCAGTATAAGCAAAGTTCAAAGGAACGGTGGGAAAATTGTGGACTGAATCAATCTTCCTTTTACCTGAACTTAACACTAATAACTGTCTGGGCAAAGAACAAGGCAAAGTGTTAGAGGAATTCTAACATATAACATGCCACAGATCTACCATCCTCAGATTCTTACATACTGGCAACATCCAAAGTTGCTGACAAGTGAAAGGGTCCTTTACTAAATATTATCCTACAATCTGGCATAGTGTGAAACATTTTTAATGTAACTAAATAATTAACAAACAGCAACATGAACTGACAATGGATCCAAGTCAAATTAAATGCAGGCTTGAATCAGTTGGAAGAATAATTTCCCCCCTTTTGTTTATTTTTTTGTAGTTTTAATAGCCAGAAATATAATTTTCCTTCTTTAGGGAATATTAATTATGTCCTAGTTGTGTTCAACTTCAAGGGCTCAAGAAAGTAAGGTCAGTTTCATTTTATTTATTGAGTTGGAGTCTCACTGTGTCACCCAGGCTAGAGTGCAGTGGCACGCTCATGACCACCATAGCCTCGACCTGCTAGACTCAGGTGATCCTCCCGCCTCAGCCATCCAAGTAGCTGGAACCACAGGCATGCGCCACCACACTCAATTAATTTTTTTGATTTATTGTAGCAACAGGGTCTTGCCAAGTTGTCCAGGCTGATTTTGAACCCGGCAAGCCTCTTGCCTCCGCCTACCTCCCAAAGTGCTAGGATTGCACGCATGAGGCACTGTGCCCAGCCTAGTACCATTTTAAACTAGACGTTCTCTTTAAAGTGCTTTGGCCTAACTCAGTTTTTATTCTAGTAGGGTGTGGTTCATTCTAGGTTTTTGTTCACAATTCCCTTTAAAAACCTAAATTATGAGTTATGTTTAGATATAAATTAAATATGTATGTACTATTCTTTATAGGTTTACTCTATATGAAAACTTGATTTCAAAAAACCCTATTTAAAAATAGTCACTTAGAGCCGGGCTTGGTGGCTCAGCCTGTAATCTCGCGCCTTTGGGAGGCTGAGGTGAGTAGATTGCCTGAGCCCGCGGGTTCGAGACCTGCTTGGGCAGCGAGACCTCATTTCTACAATAAATCATGGTAGCGCATGCCTTGTAGTTCCAGCTACTCGGAAGGCTGAGGTGGAAGGATAGCCGGAGCCCAGTAGCTCGAGGCTGCGGTGGCCGGGAGTGGCCAATGCACTCCAGTCTGAGCGACAGAGTGAGAATCTAACTCAAAAAAAAAAAAAGTCACTTAGAATCTTTCTGAAGTTTAAGTTCAGAGTTTCAAATATTTTATGAATGCCTCCCTTTTCTGAGAAACTTCAAGCACTGTATTTACAAACAAGTATTTCATCTTCATAATCTCAAACTGCCCCAGTTTGTAGCACTTTTTTTTTTTTCTGTCTAGCATCTATTCTACCTTTTACTGGTAACAGCACTTCAGTTTTCTCTTGCCTCCAACAGGACGTAGTCTGGTGGGACTATTAATCTGGGGGCCTTGCCCTAACCCAGGGCTTCTCAGCCGCAGTACTACGGGCACTTGGGGTTGGATAACTTCATTGTGAAGGGTGGTCCTATGCGTTGCATACCCATATTTAGAGCAGGTCTGGTCTCTACCCACTAGATGCCAGTATCAGTCTCTCCCAGTTATAACCAAGAATGTCTTTAGTGTTACCCACTGGGAGTACAAAATTGCTACTAGCTGGGACCCACCACACTAACCAAAGGATATATAAATGACTCAAGCCATGCCAACAGATTGCTCCCCCCCTGCTCTTAGTCTTGAGCAGAGAATGAAAAAAGCCTGATTCCTCAATGACAGTACCTCTTTAGGACCCTGCTTCTGAGACCCAGGAAGTAGCTGGATGTGACCTGACTCGTGTCCATTTCCGCTTGAGTTCTACCTTCTCACCAACCTTCTGAGTCTCTCTAGGATCTTACCAATTCCCATTCTGCTCAAGTTGTCATGTTTCTGCTAATTCCTAAAAATCTCTGATACACTCTGTTCAAACACATGTAGCCCAGGAGCTTTGATCTGGAAGAAATCCTCATTCAACAGATAAGGAAACAGAGACTGCACATCAGATTCGGGGTCAGGAAACCTGGCACTGAGTCTGACTCTGCAGCTACTTAGCTATGACCTTGAAGACTGAGTTTCTTCAGTCGAAAAATGGAGAAAAATGGTCACCTCATTTTCTTCTCAGGGTTGTTAAAAAGGATAAAGTACAATTTTAAAAAATATTTTAAAAATGAATATAAAAAGCATGTGAAAAAGCTGCATACAAAAGTTGAGACTGAGTTAGATCAAGAAAATACAAATACCCTGAAGCACAGAAAAGGGACATCGTGAAATCGATGGAGTGAAAAACAGAAATCAAATTCGTCTTTAGTATTCACTTGTCATCCTAGTTTGCTTTCTTTTTTTTTTGAGTCAGAGTCTCACTCTGTCACCCAGACTGGAGTGCAGTGGCCGCTCCCGGCCACCGCAGCCTCGACCTGCTGGGCTCTGGCGATCCTTCCACTTCAGTCTTCCAAGTAGCTGGAATTACAGGCATGCGCCACCATGCCCAGCTCTTTTTTTTTTTTTTTTTTTTTTTAAAGAGTGTGGGTCTCACTCTGTTTCTCAGGTTGGAGTGTAGTGGCACAATCATGGCTCTCAGCAGCCTCAACCTCCAGGGCACAGACAATCCTTCCACCTAGCCTCTTGAGTAGCTGGGACTACAGCGCCACCATGCTGGCTAATTTTTTGGAATTTTGTAGAGATGAAGTCTTGATATGTTGCTCAGGCTAGTCTCAAACTCCTGGCTCAAATGATTCTCTACCTTGGCATCCCAAAGTGCTGGGATTACAGGTATGAGCCATTGTGGTCAGCAACCTCCATCTTTAATATATAAAGAGGGGGGACCCAAAAAAACATAGAATTACCTGGATTTTTTGTTGTTGCTGTTTGTTTTGGAGGGTGGGTCCCCTTGTAAAACATTTGGAATTTGTTCCTCTGAATCAAACAATTGACCAACTTTTTTTTTTTTTTTTAGTTAGAGTCTCACTCCGTTGCCCAGGCTGAAGTGCAGTGCCACGCACACAGCCAACCCAGTGTCGATCTTCCAAGTAGCTGGAAAAACAGGTGCGTGCTATCACACCCGGCTAATTATTTATTTATTTATTGTAGAGACAAGGTCTTGCCAAGTTGCCTGGGCTGGTCTTGAAACTGTAGACTCAGGCAATTCACTTGCCTCGGCCTCCCAAAGTGCTGGGATTACAGGCTGAGCCACTGAGCCCAGCCATTGACCAACTTTTTATCTGGAAGTTTTGAGAAGGTTGCATCACAATTTGTGGAAGAAATGTCCCGAGTTGTGTTAAACAGGTGGCTGGTTCTTCCACCATGACAATACACCTGCCCAAACCGCCTTCAGTATTCAGCAATTTTTGACCAAAAACACGCCCCATTCTCTCTATTCACCTGATCCCCATGCCCCAGTCTCTCTATTCACTTGATCTCACTCCAAATGACTTTTTTCTTTCCTGGGATGGAAAAAGTCCTCAAAGGGAAACATTTTGCTACGAGTTCAAAAACTGTTTTGAGTAGTGGAAAAGTTTGTTTTTTTTTTTTTAGTTGGAGTCTCACTCCGTTGCCCAGGCTGGATGGAGTGTAGCGGCTTGCTCATGGCCACCCCAGCATCGACCTGCTGGGCTTGGGCGATCCTCCTGGCTCAACCTGCCAAGTAGCCAGAACTACAGGTGCACGCTAACACACCCAGCTAATTTTTAATTTTTATTATAGAGACGAGGTCTTGACAAGTTGCCCGGGCGGGTTTCAAACCCACAGACTCAGGCAATCCACTCATCTCTGTCTCCCAAAGTGCTGGGATGACAGGTTGAGTCACCGAGCCTGGCCAAAAAGCATCTTGATAGGTGTATTACATCAAATGGAGAGTGCTTTGAATGTGACTGAAGTTTAAGCATGTAAGAATAAATACACAAGCCGGGCTCAGTGGCTCAACCTGTAATCCCACACCTTTGAGAGGCTGAGGTGAGTGGATTGCCTGAGCCCGCGGGTTCGAGACCCGCCTGGGCAACTTAGCGAGACCTCATCTCTACAATAAATCAAAAAATTAGATGGGCGTGGTAGCGCGCACCTGTAGTTCCAGCTACTTGGAAGGTTGAGGCGGAAGGATCGCTGGAGCCCAGCAGGTCGAGGCTGTGGTGGCCGGGAGCGGCCACTGCACTGCAGTATGGGTGACAGAGTGAGACTCTAACTCAAATAAAAAAAAAAAATAATAATAATAATAAATACACAATTTTTAATATATAAATTCTGGCTTTTGGGGGACCCCCTCTTATGCCAACCAACCATAGAGTATAAGGCACGACACTCTACCCTATGTAAGCTTCCAGTAGAACTGACATGGGTCCAGTAATCAAGAAGCTGAACAATCAAAAAACAATCAACAATATTAAATTGTCTAGGTCCGTAGGGAAAAGTCTGGATACCAGAAAAACCAAAAGGCTGAAATGTAACTCCTACACGTATGTTATAAATCACTTCAGTATTCAGATCCATAAAACAGTACGTAATGAGTTCCTTGAAAGCAGGATTGTGTGTATTAATCTTGGTATCCCTGAGCACCAATAGGGTGGCAAGGGTTAAGTAGACAATACATATTTGCTGAATATTTGAGGTGTTTTATGTGTGGCTCCATTTATTCATAGAACCA